TTTTTTTTTTTTTTTTTTTTTTTTTTTTTTTTTTCCCCTTTTTCTTTTTTTTTTTTTTTTTTTTTTTTTTTTTGTAATTATTGCTTACATTTGGATCTGCTTCAGAATGAAAGATGATGCTATTTCAACATGAAAAAGCTGAACCACAGTATTTCGAAAATGCTGAGACAGCACATTCACTTTGCCTGCTGTTGTGGTGGTTTTGCCCCTCAAAGTGCTGCCCAGTTATTGTTCTAAGCACAGTAGCTCAGCAAACTCTCCCTGAGCCCAAATGTCTTGGGGTATGGATGGGATTTGCCCTTGTCTGGCAGCTCTGAAGGTCTCATCCAAAAGAATGCCCAGGGAAGGCAGGCACTGGCACCCCTGCATGGGCAGCATTGACACCCCATGCCTTGAGGGTGCAGGCATCAGCCCGGGGGAGGTCCCCTTAATCACAGCTGGTGGGGTGCTGGGATCATGGAAGGGAGCATCTTTGCATAGCTCTCACATGTATTTCTAAGGCAACTGGAGACAGAAGTCAGAGTCTGGATGCTTAATTCAATGGGTAGGGAGTAATTCAGGCTTCTCGCCTAATGCCACTTACTACCCAGAATTTCAGCGTATTCTTGTCTGGGTGTTCTTCCCTGAAAATGCCTGTGAATATTTACACAGCTGTAAATACAGTGGATGTGTTCACTCTGCTCCTTTGATCCAGGGACAGACTGCAATATAGAACCTGACTGTTCCACTTCCTACCTTTGAAGAAATGCCTGGTGTTGGAAGAAATTCCAGTGGCCAGGGAGCTTTGAGGACACACATTGTGAATCAGATCAGTAGTCATTCCTCTGGGGGACAGAAAGCTGTTTGGATCTCCAGGCAAGGCTAAGAAACATATATAAATATCCAAATTTCATACAGGAATAGTTAAGATATTAAAATTAAGAACAGAGGGATTTGTTTGTTATTCGGCATATAATTAGAACAGGTGAGAGTTCCCACTTGCAGCTTTAAATACATCCTGGCCAGGGTTTCAAACCAACACACTATTTTGACCCACAGTTCTGTGAGTCTCCTTTTGATCTTGCCTCTGCCCATACTTAATCCTGCTGCTCATGGTCCTGCACAGGGACCCACTCCAACTCCCATGGGATCACAGCTTCCATCACTGAAAACCCAGACTGTAAACAGGCTTGATCCCAGGCTTCAGGAGATGAGCCTTGAGGAAATGACAGCACTGAGACAAAAACCCGTGGCAATAAAAGAGACAACACAATGTCTGTTGATGTAGCCATGGTCCTCACTTTATAGCTGAAGGCTGAGTCAACCAGTCCTGGTTCTCTGTGAAATATCCCAGTGAATGCAGTTCTGTAGGAACACCTTGTGGCTCAGGATTTGGAAGTGAGATACTGAAAAGGGACAGGGCTGTTAGGTAGTTATCAAGGAGACATGTCACCTTTCATGGCAGGGACCCTCAAGGTGGGAACTCACCAGCAAACCCAGCTGGAACACCGTAAGGAGTTCTTAGCAAGACTCACTGGCAGTGTCCTGCTATGGCCTTTGGATGTTACTTAAACCTTAGAATATTTGTTCTGCTACAAGACAGGCTTGCATGGGAAAAAACCCATGATTAATTAGCCATTTCCCACAAAGTGTTTTCATCAAAGGCAGCAAAATAATATCTAGTGCCTCAGTGTTAAGTGAATCCATTAAAGTTAATTGAGCAATGAGTAAAGCTGCTTAATGTTCTCCTCCTGATGTGTCTGGCTTTTCATATTCTTGGCACCATGTAATCTTGGGTTGGTGGTTTTGATCTGTACCCAGGCTGCTTCCCTACTTGCCTGCCTTGGTGCCTCAGATCCTTGGCCCTCAGGGAAGCTCCTCCTACTGCATTCATGGGCAAACTGTCCCCTTTCCTTTCAGTCCAGCAGAACTACTAGATGCTTTCAAAATGAGGACTACCAGATGCATACAAGGGCCTCAATGTCTGATCTCCCACCACCTTCAAGATGTAAATGGTCCCTTTGCTCCTGTCTAGGAGAAATCCAAGTACCAACTAATAGCTGGTTGGAGCAATTGCAGAATCAGCACACCTAGCAAGATGTAGGCTTTAAGAGCCACCTCTCCAGCCAAAGAGATGTCTTCTCACAGCAGGAGAGCAGCTTTGGACAGTGCTGAGTACCTACACCGGGGGTGATGAAGGTAGAGATGGGCAGAGGCAGCTGTGATGGTCTAAAGGATGGTGTGGTTGGTGGGCAGAGGCTGGTGGCTGGTGGTGCAGAGGCAGATCTAGGAGCGTTAGCCCTTCCAGCCCCTTCCTGCTGAGCATCAGCCTGCTGAGAAAAGTGCTTTCCTACCTAACCCATCAATGACAGCAGACAAGAGGTAGGTGCAGCCAGGAGTGCACACAGAAAACATCATGTGTTAGGATGTTCAAGGGAAGCCAGGAGAGTGTGCTGTGAATAGAAAGAGAGCATGTTTTGAGAAATCTGAAACAAATAGGTCCTGTTCATCATTAGCTTCAAGTTGCCCACAAAAATTCCGTGTGTGTCAGGACTTCTGTTCAGGAGGGGTGTTCCTCCTGCATTTTGGGAGCTCAACCCCAGTGCAGCACCACCCTTGATGACTGCTCTACACAGGGGTGCCAGAGACAAGCTTGCACATAAGAGTGCTCATGCATGTGACCTCTTCCCCAGCACTGCCAACCCAAAGGATGACCCCTGCAGCTGGAAGATGCATGGGGTCCACAGTCCCAAAACACGAACCAGGGAAACAAGGTTGTTACTGATAGTGGAACCAGGCTGGCAAGCAAACAGCACTCTGATGGATGTGCAAGGGGACACAGGCGCCGACTTCGTGCATTCCTTTTGTTTATTCTCCTCTGAGGGTAAAAAAAACCATGGAGTTTCGATGATAGGAACAGATTTGGTTGCCTCCCTTGGGATACAACCAATATTTGTGCTCTTTCTCTGATTTCTCCAACAGATGGTGTGAGCCTCAAAATGATTGAAGACCTGAAGGCCATGATTGACAACATCTCTCAGGAGGTTGCTCTACTGAAGGAAAAGCAAGCGCTCCAGACAGGTATATGGCTTGTTGAAGAGCACACAACTTTTACTTTGAGAGAGGACCTCATAAAGTGGCTGCAATTGCTCCACATGTCTTGATGAGAGATGCCCAAGCACCCCACAGCAACAAGCCCACCATGGGGAGAGAGGCTGGAGATCTAAGCAGAGTGTGGGTCTCTGCAATTCCTCTGGGCTGGTGAACCTCCTCGGGCAGTTAATGCCAGGAGCTGTGCAGTGCGGGCACCCCTCTTTATGTGCTTCTCATCTGGATATTCCTGTGATGCTAAGCCAGACGTTCATTTTCCTTTATGAGGTGGAGGGATGGGATTTGGATTAGTCTGTGCTTTAACCAAATGCAGCTTACTCTTTTGTCTGAGCCCCAGTGAAATGGCAACCTGGTCTCTTATACACACCATGCTATTGCCCAGGGAACTGCACTGTGGGTCAGTCCTACTTCATTAAACATACACAGAGGACAGTCCCAAAATGTCCATCTTCCAGATGTGCTCCATAGTTATTGTGTAAACTTCACTGACATCAGGAGGAGTAGAATTTGCAAAACATGAAGCAGAAATGAGATGAAAATGCAAATTAAGGAGATTTTTCTCCTTAAAAGAAAAGGAACACAAGCAAAATCAAGGCTTTAGTTCCATGCTCACATTCATTGAGAAGTAATTGGTTTGGATATTAATGTGTGACTCTGATTAGGTATTGTTTGGCTACAGTACCCTGCACTCTTAAGGTTTAGAGCTTAAAGAAAAACAAAATAAATTTATATCCTTAAAACTAAAATCAGAGGCAAGTAGAAATTTCCTCTGAAGACCTCAAGCTATGCAAGCACAACGCTTCTGATCAAAGCTTATTAAAAAAGACTTTTTTTTCCTCTTGCATAATTAAGATGATTTAATTGGCATGCAGGCTTTTTTCCCAAAACACTTCAACACCCAGCAATGCCCATGACAAACCATATTTCCAACAAATTCATCACAGAAGGAGTAGCACTGGCTGGGGAAGAACAAGGCCAGGGGAAGGTGCAGGAGGACCACGTTGTGCCTCTGCTCCAGCAGAAGCAGAGCCCAGAAGGGTGGCAGGGGCACCCCAAAAATCCATTTCACCCAATGATTTGCAGAGGGAGAGGGCACATCCCCACGACTGTGTCCCACCCTGCACTAGGAATCCTGTGCTGCTAAGGGTCACTGTGCAGCCTAAGAAAGTTTGGAATTTGGCCGCTGCATTTGCTGCTGCTGCCTCTTCCTGGGCACCGTTTTAAAACCAAATTCTCTTTCTATCTTTTTTATTCTGTTCGTGTGGTAACCTCTCAGTTTGCCTGAAAGGCACCAAAATTCATCTGAAATGCTTTCTGGCATTTTTGGAGACCAAGACATACCACGAGGCCAGCGAAAACTGCATCTCTCAGGGCGGCACGCTCAGCACGCCCCACAACGGGGAGGAGAACGATGCCCTCTACGACTACATGCGCAAGAGCATCGGCTCGGAGGCCGAGATCTGGCTGGGCCTCAACGACATGGCCGTGGAGGGCAAGTGGGTCGACATGACAGGCAGCCCCATCCGCTACAAGAACTGGGAGACTGAGATCACCACCCAGCCCGACGGCGGCAAGCTGGAAAATTGTGCGGCTTTGTCGGGGACCGCCAATGGCAAGTGGTTCGACAAGAGGTGCCGAGAGCAGCTGCCTTACGTCTGCCAGTTCATGATTGTGTAGCAGTGGGGCCTCCCCCTGCTCTCCCAGCCCGGTCTCCACCCTGGGCAGCAGGATGATGAAGCTGTAGCTGTGCATACGCCTCCATGTGCATCTGCACACCCACACGCACGTGTTCACTCCGTAGAGTCACCCTTTGCAAAGAGATTCGCTGCGGCTCGCGGTTATAGAGCCCTAGAGCATTTCCTTTGGCCACATCCAGCCCTGTTTGCAGCTACACTGCTCTTCCTAAGGCACGATTCATAGATATATATTTTTTTACACAGGGAATTTATTAGGACAGCTCAGTTGTTCCAGCAAAGAACCAATGCAGCAGTCCAGCCTGGCATGCAGCTGCCTCGGCTGCCTAGGGCTGTCCGGAGTGTCCTTTCCCATTTTGCTGAGCTTTCTTGGGACACCAGTATAGGCAGTTTCTGCTTTCTTTTCTTGTTTTGCTTCCCATAAGCCCTGGCAGCAATTTGTGAGAGTTCCGTGTTCCTCACAGTGTTCAGTTCAGCCTTGTGAGGATCAAGGTCCTGCCTCAACAACCAGAGGGAGCTGCTCCTGCTTTGCATTGAGAGATGCAATTGGGCTTATTTGGTAGGGTACCAGGGCACAACTAGTCAAATTACATGTATGAATGAATCAGCAAGTTACAGGCATTTTTGGCCCTCTTCTCACCAGCCAGAAGCCAGTTTCACAGACTTCAGTGGGGGAGCAAGACCCACTGCCAGATCCTTTGAAAAAAACTCCCATCAAAAGCTTTATTTGTGCTGCAGTATCAAGGGGAAAGCAGCAAAAACTTGGAGCATAGTTAGTCAACAATATTACTAGAAATAAATGTATTACATAAATAACATAAATGTAATACTCTTAGGGAGTATGTTGCTATATAAAAATAACTATATATTTTTAAAAGCCCCAGGACAACTCACTACAGCAGCTTCAGGAATGACCTGATCTGTTTACATGA